AGAGTGTTTTGAGATTTACTGGTAAAAAGCAGAGTGTGTGTAACTCTTATTGGTGTGTTGTGTTTGAACTGGCAAGCACTAATATGGAAAAGGCAGCTCTTGTACTACCATTAATATCCCACCTGGCAATTTCCTCTTGAAATATGCTTGAGTGATTTTTTATCATTTAAAAAGTAAACCTGCTAGATTTTTTTACTTTCTGCATTAAAAAAAAAAAAAACAACAAAAAAAACCAAAACCCAACCAAACAAAAAACACCAAAACAAAACACAACAGAGCATGGACATTGTAAAAAATATTAACTCCAAGTAATAGTATGGTCTTAATTTCTGTGTGTTTCTGAAATAAGATAGAGACCAGAAGCTCCTAAGGATTAATTTTTAAAACTACTATTTACTTCACTTATTTAACAAAAGTGCTGCTATTGTTCACTTAAAAACATCATAGCACTTAGGAGCTTCCTTATTCTCTTAAAATTATTAATGATTTTAAGTAGTGAAAAAAAAAAATCCTCTCTATTATTAAATTTTTATATCAAATTCTTCTAAGTAGGCCAGCAGGAAGACAGATTTAAGTTTGCCTAAAGTTCTTGAGTGAGCATTTCAATCTGGGTAAAGTTGCATGTCTCATCTTCTAAGAGTTATGGTTCTCTTTTGTTTTTTTTACGGATGCAGTGTTTTAAACCCATGTGTAGGTGTGCAACCTATTTCATCTATGCAATGCAAAGCATCATGTGAAACATCTCTCTACCATTATGAGACCAAGGCATTTTGTAATACTATTAAGAGCTTCGTTTTCTCCATGGAGGATGTTAAAGTTCATTTTCAAATACAGTTTGGGAAATTATATATGAGCTGATGATACTCTGGTACATCACCACAACAATTTTTTTTTTTTTTTTTTTTTTGGTAAAAAAAAAAAAAAGTTTTAAAAAATAACCCATATTCATAACAAACCTATTCCTAAAAAACTGAGTATTACAAAAGTGTTAATTTTTGGTTTGCTGCTTCAGACCTCATTTTAATGCCCACATTTCATCACACGTTGATGTTAAGACATTTAAAAAACTTTATATAGACGGTTGTACATTTCTTAGCAATTACAGGTATACCCATTTTTTTAAAGCCTGACATGAAAACTTCATTGCTTCCTTTCTGGTACTGCAGCATCTAGAACTGAAAACCCTAAACCATTCATTAATGTCTTCCTAATTTAGGAATTAGCAATCCAAAATCTTGTCTGGCATTTTTTCCATTTCCATCCCATTCCCACCACTGTCAGAATTATTTTCACCTTCTGCTCCTTTCAAGTTTTAAATTCTTTCTTCACTGTATTCATACAGATTGGGTTTTATTTTGAACCTCTACACTGGTATAAAACCAAAATAAAGTGGTTTAGTTTGAGGATTATTCTGATTGTCATCAGGATTATCTGCAAATCAAGTTTTCTACAAATCTGACTATATAACTGACAAGAACACCTCAAAAATTTTTTATAACTTGAATCTGATTTATTTCTTCATTAGGAACTGTATAAATTATTCAGCAATATGGTATGTTATGCAACTATACACATGTATAGAACTTATCTCCTTAACTAAAACAAGCACTACTGATTTTTGTCCAGAAAAAGCCTAACAAATTCTATATAAAAATCTACTCTTCCCTGCAGCACAGAAATGGTACACCATCTACCATTTGAGAAGTCAGGCTCTGATAGTGTCAATTAGTTGTTCTTTTCTGTTACAAAGGGTAGATAGAAACCTGCACAACAGGTTGTGGGAGCTTGTTTCACAGAAGGCTTTGTTTCATTACAATTTTCAGAATTAATCAGAAACTTGAAACTTTTACTGAGAAAGTCCAGCTCCAGTATTTTATCTTCTCAGTCTCGGTCGTGGAGGGTGCTAAGCAGTACAACTGTTATCACACACACAGACTTGGATGGTGGTTGAAATACGGCACACCTTCCAAAGGTTTAGTACTCCTACCAGGTCTTACTTCCTCATTTTATTTTGATACTTTGTCGTTTTGTCTATTTGTAAATCATCATGGTATGCTGTTATCTCACTGTTTAAAACCTGTGAATGTTGGTTCTGAGAAGTTAAAGAAGTCAAAGCTACATTGCCAAGTTTGACTTTTTTGTTTCAAGTCCATAATTTTGTTAAGAACACTTTGTCAGACAGGATGTAATACCCAGTATCCAGCTATTTAAATGGCATGAAAAATAGCTTCATCTTCATATATTCTAAAATCAAGAGAGACTGGTAAAATCATGTTGTTCTGCTTTCATTATCTCATACTGCAATGAGATTTGCTTAAATTATTTGCTTGAATTCCTTCTTATGCTGCTAAGATTATTATGTGAACACAGTTAATTTTCAGAAACATCTGAGAAGCAGCCACTATTATACCTATTTCATAAGTAGCAAAACTGAGTCAGAGAAAGGTTCTTATGGTTTAGGCATGACTGCATATAAATTAATAGCAGTGCTGAGATTAAGGCTGAAGATTTAGTAACTATTGGGTGTTGGCGTAGTTCACCAGAATACACTACTAGGGCATATTTTTTCCACATCGCAGAAATTCTTTTTGTAAACTGCAGTGCTGGGCAACCCTGTAATTATGCAGAGAGCAATTTAGGACAAAAAAAAAGCAATAATTTTTGGCTCGACAGGTTTACACGGAACTTCAGAAACTTACTCTCACTACCAATAATATTCATTCAAACAGCCGTCTACTCAGGCCCTGATTCTCTCTTAGACCACTTTGTGCTGCTTGGACAGTAGCGAACTAGATAATCGAGCCCTTATAGTATAATGTAAGGACTAGTTCTTATAGCAGCCTCAGAAACCCTTACTTACTTCAGTGAGGCTTTGTACTAGTGCACAGATTAATTCATGTGGAACTAATTGCAGAACTGTGACCTAAGAAACTGGTCTAGCTCTATTTGCTTGTTATCCAGTTGTCAAAATGTAGTGCTCATTAAGTGCAGAAACAAAGGGTCCAGATGGATTCTTTATATATGAGAAATGTTTCCCATATAAAAAGAAAATAATGAGTAACATTGCAGTGGAATTTAAGACCTTATTCAAAAGAAGGGAAATTCTGAGGTAGGTCTTTTAATCAAAAATAATTCAGAGGACTTTCCTCTATGTATTTATGATTTACTTTACCTAAAAAAAAAAAAAATTAAAAAAAAAGTCATTTATGTAAAATGTACTTTGACTACCTGAGTCTATAGACGATGAATAGGATTGAAACAAATGCCTTCTAGTCCCACTACTCTCTTTCATAGTGTGAACTCCATGCTTGGTTCTGGTTGTGCTCTAATCACTTTTCTCACATTCCATAACACAGATTTTGTGTCTTACATAAGACACTTCTGGACTCCTCTAACTTAACCAACCTGCTGAAGTCCCTGGCAGTGTGAGCAGACAGACAGGGGTCACTAACAAGAGAGTTACAGCTGTTTCTTTATGTCAGTAAATGGCAATAAGCTAGTGTAGGAGGTATAACAGCTAGTAAAATTTGGCATGAAGATACTATCCACTGTATGGATCTATCAATCTAAAATCTGATTTAAAAAAAAGCAAAACCACAAAGAGATTAAGAATTGGAAATAGCAGGTTCCAGAAGTTTTCAATGTTATAGATTTTTCAGGACATACACAACTTCTAACATGTTCTAGAAGTGAGCTTGAATGCTCTGCTGCCTAACATCACTGAGGATGAAGTTTCGTGAAAAGTTTTAAGTTTGCCTATCTGCCAAAAAGGGCAGTCCCACTCTTCTCCAAGGCATATTCCCTTTTGAAAGTACCAACATTTGTGCAGCTATGCAAATAAATTACCTCAAGGGAATTGACCTGGCTGAAAATTAACCTGGTAAAATAAATCCTTTTTTGCAGCAGGATCAATTCTCTGATCCAACTTTCTATACAGCCACAAATAGCATAAATGCTAGTATTAGACAGGAGAGAAGAACATGGAGCCAGGAATGGGAAGAAGGGACAGTTGAGTTTCATCATCTCTGTGGTTAATGTGTTCCAGATAAAGCCATATGTTGTTGCCTGGTTGGATATAGAAGATCTACATCAGATAGGCACCAAACCATTTAACATTCAGTAAATCGTAACTAGTTATGCCAGTTAACCAAACAATCAAATAAGCAAATAAAGCAGTTGATGCCAAGTACAGAACAAAATCTACAAAGTTCTAGCTGAGAAGTTTACGTTGCCAAACATCAAGCTGTCAATGGCTTCCATGTGTAAATATATCTCAAGCACCATTTATGTGTTCCAGCAAGATAAATGGATACAGGCACTCCCCTACTCCACTGCCTCAGGCAAAGAAACCCACCACACTTAATCATCTGCTAACACCTTCCAGCCCCGATTAGCTGCCTCTTTGCAAGTGCCTGTGTTTCTGAAGGTATGCATGAGTAAACCTACTCACCTCCTGATGCTGTTTTGCTGTGTAAAGACCTAACCACAAGGGGATTCTCAGAGAAGTCTGTCCTGTTATCTCATGCAATCTGAAGCACATCAACAGGAACAGGCACCACAGAGTAAACAGGCACGGACAAGACTTCTGAAGGTTGGTAGCTAGTATGTATACGCATTGCGTATATGATTACACTCAAAATCCCAGAATTCAAAGCATTTGGCTGCAGTAGCAGCAACTGATGCTTTTTCATTAATGCTCAAGATGTACCTTTTACATTATTAACCCAGATTAAAAAAAAACCAAAAAACAACAACCAACCAACCAACCATCATCACAGATATCCTTCTGAACCTGTTACAGTGAAAAATAATTTAATGGCTTCAGTAGGACTACCCATAACAGTAACTGATATTTGAGAGAGCAAATCAGGAGTGCAACCTGGGACAATAAAACTGCATGTTACGATCAGATATGTTTAGTAAGTACTATACAGATGTTCATGTTCAGATGTCACCGCTATTTTTGAAGAGTAAGTCATGATATCTTTTCCCCTTTTCAGGTGTAATCCTTGGATTTTCTCTCCGATCATATAAAATGAGCTATCGGGAAGTCAAGTACTTTTCATTTCCGGGAGAACTACTCATGAGAATGCTGCAAATGCTGGTCCTGCCACTAATTGTATCCAGTTTAGTCACAGGTAAAAAAAGAAACAGTATTTTTGTTCTTTTAAACAATTTGATAAAGACGTATAAAGACGTACACACCAAATCATTTAAAAAAAAAAAAAATCACATCCTGGAAGTGTTATAATCTGCAAAAAAAAAGATACCTTTGCTGTTGCTGTTTTAAAGATAATGTAACAAGAGAGTTGAATTAATATACAAAGGAACTAAAAGATGCTTTTCCCAATTTCAAGACCATCTAATTTCACAAATTACTATATGTAGTTGCCATGAAGCTGACGGTGTACTCCACTTTCTCTTACTTTCTGAACAGATATTTCCTCCACAATGTCTCAGTGTTATCAAAGATAATGTATCTCAGAAAAACAGTTCCAAAACCCAAGAAAGTCAACATTATCATGGACAATAACCCATGCCTGTAAACTCAGATCTGTAAAGCAGCTGTCTACCTTCTAATCTTTTAGCAAGAGATTAGGAAGAGTAGTGATAGATAGGATAGATTGGCTAGTTTGGAAGAAAGTTCATCCCATCAGTTCTGGTGAGAAACTCTCTTAAGCTTCGAGCCCTCTTTACTAAGTTATTCCTTGAGATAGAGGTATAGCAATTAATTTCTTATGATGATGTATGCCTTGTCATTCCAGCTAAATTTCATGGAAAAGCTCTCAGATTTTTTACGAATGTTCAGGCTATATCTGTGATTTGTCCTATTAAGTATCTAAAGAAAAGAAAGCATGGACTTTGGTCTACCAGCAAATCAATGGTACAGCTTGGAGAACTTAATCAAAACTACCCAGAGTGCACAGTCCTAGGATTGGGAGACTATAAACTCTTCCCTATCTCATTGATTTTCAAATACTTTAAAATCTCCTGTTGTAATTGCAAATGAGCATAGACTCCATCTTCATAGATACCAAAGATAGCATGTAAGTATATAAGATGTTAATACAACAGCAGAAAACTAGGGTATTCATAGTTACAAAATCATTTGCCTTCACATATTTCAAGGAGAAAGGAAAGCTTGTTTCTATATGAATACTGAAAGCTTAATGAACACTGAAACTAGACTGGAATTTATAAATCTTGTAATCGATACAATCAGAGGTTTTACCAACCAGTGTATAATTCTGTTACATATCATATCTCCTTGCTGTCTTCTTGTCCTTTTCACCTGCAGAACTTCCCAGATTGGCTGGGCACCAATAGAAGAACCGTTAAAAGTAGAGACATTTAGGCTTTTTCAGTGTCAGCTGAGTCTGGCACTGCAGCTCCATTTTGTAGGATAAGTTATTTCAGGAGAATTTACTTCCTCAGTTCCTTGTAATTCTGCATCCATATTGGTTCTTTGAGAATGATCAAGGTAAACCAAGAAATTATGTAGATCATCGTATACAAGGATTTGAATTCACTTTCAAAATTCTAGGTAGTAACACTTTGTTCAGGTAAAGATCACCTCAGAGTGAGGTGATCACCTTTGATCAGGCAAAGCCGCCTCAGAGAGTCATGAGCATCACAAGGACCTGGACTTGTGATAAAACAAGCTCATTTGCTGTATCACCAGATCTCAGTAGAGATTTTGTGATATACCAGAACAGTAAATTTCCAACTAATTCTATTCTAGAAAGGATCTTCAGTCTCTGGATTCAAACAATACACTTTTTTTTTTTTTTATGGCTTCATTTTTTTTTTTGGAGTCCTTTATCCTTTTTTTATTTTAACAATTATTTCCTTTATTATATAGAGGCTTTTGGCAAAGAGAAATCTTACATATCTATAAAATTTATCTTATTATCATACATTGTAATATTAAATGGATTATTCTTAGAGTTTCCCTTTGAAGTAGAGTTGATAATTTTCAAGATTAATAACAACTTAAAACTTTAAACTTTTTTAGCCAGGCAGGGAACAATCAGAGAAAACTCAATGAAATTCACAAATGACAGATTTCAATATTTTTTAAAAAATGTTAAATACAACATGACTATGTCTTTTTTCATGGAATAAAAAAAAAAAATTTCCCAGTTTACTGCTAAAAACTGTGGAAAAACTGTTTTCTACACTGAACAATACCTCATTTAATATACAATTTATTTTTTTAAAAAAAAGATGCTCTTATATATTTGCTGCAGAACTCTCATACTCAAGTAGATATACAGGTATTATTGAATAGCTAAGTAATAATGAACCATAACCTTTACAGGTATACTACTGTGCAGTTTTATAGATGCTTTTGGTTTACTTTCAGACATTTACACATGGAATAATTCATTGGATAAAAGTCTTATGTTTCTCAAGTCAGTCTTAAGATCACTCTTGGCATCCCTGAGCCAAATCTCTTAGTTCTTGTATTTTGTTTGGCAAAGCAAAGCAGATGCCTCTTAACTAACCACAAAAAGATTCCTACAGGGTCTTGCACACTGATAATATAATCGCTTCTTCCAGTTGTAAATGATCTGAATAAATATTTTTGCTGTTTGCAGGCATGACAGTGTCTCCCGGATATGACGTCCCGGGTTTCCATTTGTATTTATACAAGTGTGCTCAACATAACTGATTGTGACATTTTCAGAACATATGGACTCCGAGGTGTTAGAAATAGGCTGGGGATGATTACGTTCCTCGGCAAATTTTGTGAGTGTCAAAGAAATTAGACCAATAAAAGCAAAGTCATAATTATAGAAGCTATGGGCTGCTACATAAGGGAAAGATAAATTGAGGAAGAATTCTGCTATACAGGTAAATGGTTCTGGCGGTTATTCACAGACTCTCCAGAAAATAAACTGCAAAAGGTGAAATCAACGCGGTCAGATTTCTTATAGCCTGTTTTGGTGCTTTCATTAAAGAAACAATGCAGAACCACGTTCAGAGGTTTCTACTCATATGCCTTATGACTTAACATTATTACACATGGCTTAAGCAGGTACGCACTTTTCTCCATGAGATTCTATTCACCGATATATGTGTTGCCAGGCATGTATTAACATCTGCCTGGGAGAAAACAGAGGTTATTTGCATACCTTTCACCATCTTTTACTGGTTATAGGAAAATATGATTATACAAATATCTGTATTCTTTCTTTTCTGGTTTAGACACAAATCCAACGGCATACTCTATGCTGGTCTTTATGCTCTACAGTCTTTCAAATGGGAGAACTCCTAAATCAGCGTTTCCAATTAGTATCTCTTTCAAAGTCAGAGGCAAAATCAAGGCAAAGTATATGGCAGGCAGCATAAATAACCAAAGAAATAGATGAAATTCCCATTTGGATTATTTTACGGCCAGATCTGACCTGAATTCTTACACAAACACTGGACTGACAATTTTGCTCTGGTTCTGTTTTGAATATGCTGCAGTTATAGGAGTTCAAAATATTTTTATATCTTTTTTTTTTTCATTATAACTTGAAGCATTTGACAGAAACAAATTGCTTGACATAATTATTTTAAAATAGCATTGATCCTAACAGATATATAAAATAAATGTGTATGCATATATCTCAACTCATCATGAAGTAGACAAAGACTGCAAGTTTTGCACCAGCATTAAAAGCACTATGCATTAATATTTTTTTGAACTGTTCTAGCAAGATCATAATCAGAATTGAAATTCCAGCCCTTAAAACTGGCCCACAAGTTTTATCTGCACATTTCAATTATTCAACTAATATAAGGGCTTCAGAAGAGGTATTTTTCTTAACCAATCTGTATATTTGCTGAAATCATATTCACAAAAACTATTCATGACCAGTCTTCATAAAAGTGTAGTTGGAGCATAACATTTGTGACAATTACTAAAGCTAGAGAAATTTTATAAGGGTTATTTGAAAATATTTTGCACAATTCTGGTCATAGCTCAGTTTAATAGACAGACTACTTCTCTTCCCCAAAGTTCTGAAAGCCTGGAATTTATTTGTACAGGAACACTAATTTTAAATGCAAGTAAACTAGGATCAAAATCTGTGCATTTCTTTCAAATATCTTTGTCTGGTAAAATACAGCAAGGCATTAAAAGCCCAGTCAAGGTCTGAGACTAATTTTCACTGCACAATGCAGAAACAGTAAGAAAATGCTTTATCTGCTGACATAAATCAACCTGGGGAAAGAGAAAGGGAAGGTGGAAACAGTGAAACAGTGATGTCTGCTTTTCACCAAAGATTATACAGCAGGTCAGCAATAATAAAATCAAGCAAAGATCCCAGTCATGAATACCAGTACAATGCACTCTGCATTGTGCTCAAGATGATAATGTTTGTTCAACCTCTTAATGCGAATAACACTGGTATGGCACAAATGAATCTTAATCACACACCAGGCTTTTGTGTGCAAGATTCTATACAAACACAATGACTGTGAAACTTCTTACACAGAAGGGGCTGTATAGTAAAACAGTTTAGAAGAATGAGTTTGGAAGATATGCCTCAAAGAAAAACATATTAGTATGTAGTTTGTAGTGTGTCTTTGCTTATATTCACACCCCTTTCTGATTCGAATAATGTCATGACTGTCTTTCATGGATTCTGGAAGATACAGAAACTTCCCTGCCTCTGATGGAGCCTTTCAATAACAGACTGTGACACTGACAACTGTAGGAGACACAAGTGACTTTCCTTTGGGCAGACTCAGAGACACAAGGTTTTGTCCCCAGGTTTTTTCAGCGTGTTCATAATATTCATCACTACAAAAACTAATGAAAGTGTTGACAAAGTGCGGAAAGCTGGAATTTCCATGTGTTGGTGCCTCTTAACTAACCTTAGATATACACGTGATGCTTTTGATTTCAGCTGTCAAAAGCGTGCAATGAATGGTGATAATGTCAAAACCAAGTAAAAACAAAGCCACAAAAAGTGACCCAAGTAATAAAACAAAACACAATAAGAGATCACAATTAACATTCATTTTACAGATGCAGTTGCATGAAATTACCTATAATGAAACAGGGTATGATTCAAAGAAACAGATGAACTTGAAATAGTCTCCAAGCCACTCCCTTACGTAAGTCAGGAAAAACGCAACATCT